TGTAGGCAAGAGAAAGGCAGCCTGCTGTCTAGCCCGGGGGACAAGCCTAAAGACCCAACAAGAACGGAGTGCAGAGGAGGGAGGGAAGAATGGGTGAGTGGAGAGATGGAGGCAGGCAGGAGGACACCCCTCTCTGATCGGGGTTACACTTTCTTAAGCCAGGCCGACTGTGGTTATCTGAGTATAACTCACATCCAGCTATTGACAGCTTTCTACCTGGTGACATGCTTAATGGCCCATGAAATTCTAGCCCTCAGGGCTCAAGCCTGGTATTTATGGTTCCCCACATAAACCTAAAGTGGATTGTAAATTTATCTCTCTCAGATTTAGGTGACTAAAATGGCTGTTCGAAACTCTGGAAGGGATAGTCGACTTTATGGACATGATGTACCAACTTGAAAAAAGATTAGGGTGGGAGGGGGGTACAGAGAGCTGCTGCTCCCAGAAGCCTCCTGGAGCGAAAGCCACCTTTTGTGCCTGAGGGTATTGATGTTACGGGGGAAGGAGGGCCAAGTAGGAGGTGGCACATCAATTTTGTGCCATAAAATAGTTGCACATGTTGTATAATCAAAATCTATTGTATCATAATGAAAACAGGGAAGCTGTTCGGCACAAGTAGGAAGCTTTTCCTAAGCTCCAGAGGAAGCCAAGTGGATATTTGTATATAACTAGGCATGTATGTAGTAGGAGACAGCTAAGTAGGAAGTCTCTGCTGGTGGAAGACGTGTTCTTGCTGAAGGATGGGTACCCTTCAGAAGACTCTCCAGATGCAAGCATCATGTGGTATCTATGTGTTTCGGGGTGCGCATCCTTCACACCTGACACCTATAGAGCCAGCAGCTTCCTCATCTTCCGCTTCTCCGATGTGCGCTTGTACTGTATGCAGGATGTGACTTAAATTTCACCAGCGAGTTCTAACATGCAGATTTTAAAAGGAAACCTCTATACACTCCCATGAAAAATGGGGACATAATACCAACAACCAAAATGACAACATTTCCCTCTATGGCATGCCCACTCCCCAGTCTACGTTTTTTAGTATTCTTCTCCAAGCGTTTCCCTCTCTTCCCACCAGTCATAATGTGGGGGTTATTAGAAAGGATGTAGGTAGGAGCCGATGTGGCATGTTGGAAAGAAGTCCGGCGTGAGAGGCTCAAGGACCCAAGTTTGAATCTTAGCTTTCCTACGTACTATATTTAGTGTGTTACTTGGGACTTACTGTCTGAGCCTCAACGTTCTGATCCATCAAATGGGGGTAAAAAGACCAACCAAAACATTGTTCAAAGCATGAATAACACTGAGAACTGAAAAGAAATAGGTTTCTAAAACAAGAGTATTGTTTGCAAATGGGGTGGTGCAGTTCCCCCCTTAACTGCGGAAGACGCTTTGCCTGAACGTTCAACCGGCACCAAATCCTCTCCCCAGGGACCAGCAGAAAACTGCAAGCTCCTTGTGAGTGGAAACCTTCACTAGGGCTCCACAAATAGACTCTCTGGTCTCCTAGTTTCACCCACGAGAAAAGGCATTCCCCTAGCAGGCATGTTCACACCATGAGAAATCTTTCTCACTCTCTCTCAGTGGAATTCCTCTCTCCGGTTTTTGAGATATCCTGGCCTCAAGGACAGAGCGGTGGTTTGGAAACAAATTCAGATTTGAGTGCATCCCCTCCCCCTCGCTGGGGGTGGGATTTCCAGGCTGCCTTTTCTGGAGATACTTTGTGAGTAACCTGAAGTTGGAATGCCCTCCTGAGGTCGATGTATAAAAGCCAGCGCATAAATAGGAACTAAGGCTGAAGTAAGCATAAATGTTCCCCCAACAACTTCAATAGAGAAAGGCTCGTTTGATCCTCTGGAAACTTCCTGAAACCGAGCTGAATATTTGTTTGTTTTGCAGTAGCTCCCTTTTTTTTTTTCAAGCCTTGTAGTGCAAGGCTGTTGGTTTCTCTGTTTAAAAGGAAAGTGTTCTTTCTCAGTAATGATGCTCGCGTTCTGAACTTGGCAATACCCACTTCTAAAGGCCATTTCATCATAAAGATAAAGTTCTGCTAACTCTTAGGACTCCACAGGTAGAGGATGTGGCCAGTTACCATGACTTGTGCTTACCTCCCTAAGGGTGGCGTTTGGAAGACACACAGGCTCAAAGTGTGTGACAGAAAGTTTCTAGATTTATTTTCACATTGAAGATTTGACCCCACCAGGGGGAAATGTCAACATAGATGACTATGCAAACGAGAGTAGCATTTTGACCTTTCAGTTGCCAAAGACACAAAGACCAAGTTAAGGTGAGTTTGCTACTCTGTTACTTTTTGAGGAGGCTGTCAGTAATTAGCACTCTTGTTTATTGGAATATTTGTGGAACTTCAGCTCCACCAAACTGGGTCCAAATTAGACAGCCCAAGAACAATACATGGAGAAAACGCCTGGGGCAAAGCAGGGGTATCATTTGCAGGACACAGTGATAGTGGTGAGTCCTTCCTTTGGCCTCTTTGCTGGTAGATGTGTATCAACACCGTAAAACCAGCCTATGATGTCGAGCTGACTGACAGTTCCTGAGACAGAATGTTCTGATGTTGGAAGAGCTAAGAAATGGCATGTCAGGCCTGAGGTGCTTGGCAGGGTTTTCAGATACATGTAGTGTTTTCTGCTACCTTGTCTCCAAAGCGTGAATGTTTCCAGGTTCCTGTGTCTCAGGCCCCTCAAAGTGTGGGAGACCGCACTTAAGGCCGTGACAGCAATGGTCAGATCCCATCTCCGTAGCCTGTGAACACAGGGGAAATTTGCCAGGTGTCAGATGCAACAATTGTATATGCCATGGATTTTTTTTTTTTTTCCTGGAAGCAATTGGAAACCAACTTAGTGACACTTAAGTCCTTCACCTGCTGTATCACTGTAGCCAGTGGGTGTGAGCCAGAGTGGTACCAAAACGGCCCTCATCAGAACAGCCGCTAGAGTTAAGGGCTCTGGCTTGGAGTGGAATGTTATACTATGTTCAGAGTCATGGCAACTTGAACTTGGCAGCCATATCTGCTTCTGAGATTGCAAGTGCCTCACAGCCAAGTACACCTGTGACGAGAGTTGACCTCAGAATGGGATGGAGATTGAGAAACCTGTCTTTTATAGCTAACAATTCCTCTGGACTCCTTTTAACAGCTGGATGGTGAAGTAGCAGTTTAAGTGCTTTTCGTCTCCCATCTATTGAATGTAAGACACCTATGGAATCACTGAAAGCTTCCCCACCCCCCAAATAAGAGGGGTGCTTAGAACTAAAAGGATGTTACCATATTGTCTTTTGTTTCCATCATCAACCCCGTTCGAAACTGAGAACCCTCCATGAAGTTAGTAATATGTTCTCTTTGCAAAAGGGCTGTTTTTCAGAGGATTGTTAAGACCATATTTCATGATAGACAGATTCCAATGTATTTGCACCCCTCAGAACATGCCCCATTTGCTTTCATGTGTTGTGATTAGCTTCGCTTAATCTGTAGCATGTGGCATTTTTCTATAGTAGCGTTTCTATAGAAACTTTTACTCCAGGCATGTGGGGGACAAATTATAATGCTTTGGTTTAAGAAAAAAACAAAACTGTCCAACATTTCCAATAGCCACATTTTCCAAAGAAAATGATGTGTGAGCACCTAAAGTTCCAAAAATTATTTTTGCATTTCCTTCAAATGATTTTTTTTAATTTTTTTAAATTTTTTTTAATTTTTTTAAATTTATTTCTAGGAGAAAGAGAGACAGTGTGAGCAGGGGAGGGTCAGAGAGAGAGGGAGTCACAGACTCTGAAATAGGCTCCAGGCTCTGAGCTGGCAGTCAGCACAGAGCCCGACGCGGGACTCGAACCCACGAACCGCGAGATCGTGACCTAAGCGAAAGTCGGACGCTTAACCGACTAAGCCACCCAGGTGCCCCTCAAGTGATTTTTTTTTAACACTTATTTATTTATTTTGAGAGGTAGGGGGTGGGGAGAGGAGCAGAGAGAGAGTAAGAGAGAATCCCAAGCAGGTTCTGTGCTGTCACCATGGAGCCCAGCACACGGCTGTATCCCATGAACCATGAGATCGTGCCCTGAGTTGAAGTCAAGAGTGGGATGCTTAACCAACTGAGCCACCCACGTGCCCCCAAGTGATGTTTAAGTGACATTGAGTAATGTTATTAACAGTGCATCTAATTTTTATGTAATTAGGATATATGTCATATTCTCCTAATGCCAATCTTCTTTAATGTTTGTATATGGTTAAAGTAGCATGTGGTTTTACTGCCTGTCAAATTTCCCATTTATCTCCACCTCCTTCCGTGTTATATGTGGAAGGTACCTCCATGTTGCGTACAAATGAGACACTGTCATGCTTTCAAAAGTCTTGCGTCCCTCTCTCCCCCTCAGTTAGCCTCATGTTAAGTTAGCCAATCAAAGTCAACATTACATTTTCCCCTTTGGCCTACGTTCTGCCTCCTCCTTATATAAGCCTTAGTGGCCTCACACCTCGCCACAGCCACCACCACACCTGGCCGGGCAGCCTGTAATAGCCGCCTCACACTTCCTCCTCCTCACCTGATCCGCGAGGCTGACCCAACTGCCTCCAGGCTGTGAGGCCAGGATTTCTGAAGACAGCTGGGGCAGGATGAGGGTATAGAAGAGGCGCTGGGTAAATAATGGTCACCTTGTGGCCCTATTCTTCTCTCAGCAACAAACACAGCATATGACATGTGTTTTCTCTTTCTGAACAGTTTTGAACTTTGAACATCCCTAGCGCAGGGATAGCCTCTATGATTAGAAAACAAAAAATGTGGGGCGCCTGGCTACCTCAGTCAGCTAAGCGTCCAACTTGGGCCCAGGTCATGATCTCACCGTTGGTGAGTTTGAGCCCCGCATTGGGCTCTGTGCTGACAGCTCAGAGCCTGGAGTCTGCTTCGGATTCTGGACCTCCCTCTCTCTCTGCCCCTCCCCTGCTTGCACCCTGTCTCTCTCTCTATCTTTCTCTGAAAAATAAACAAACATTGATCCTTTTGTAGTTCATAAGCGTGATGATTAGTTGTTCACGCTGCTATGTGACATGTACCACCCTTAAACCTTGTTACGATGTCAGCACATTACCTGTCTGACGTAAATAAATAAATAAACATTAAAGAAAAGAAAAAATGTAGTAGTAATAGTGTGGCTTTTTGGTAACAACCGCTTGTTTGGTGTGCTTTTCTGTCCCTCTCTTCCCTTCTCACTCTTGCCTCAGGATCACTTGCTCTTTTGCTCAGTCGTTCGGCCAACATTCAGCAACAGAGCCGAGGCCCATTAGTGATGGGCGCCCTGCACCTGCCGAGGTCTCCAGGTGCTGACGAGAGGTGGGTGTCCGAGGGCCAGGCTGCGTGGGGGAGTCCCTTATGCAGAGCTTTACAAGACCCTGTTTTGGGGCTCAGGGAACCAACCCCGGTGGGTTTGCTCACAAACCTTTGCCTCCCATTCGCAAACCTTGTTTCTGAGCAGGTTTGACAGTATAGAAACTGGGATAAAAGTTGAAGGCATCACAACACATTTGAGCATAAAGGAATCAGGGATGGGGCGCCTGGGTGGCTTAGTCGGTTAAGCGTCCGACTTTCGCTTGGGTCATGATCTCGCGGTTCGTGGGTTCGAGCCCCGCGTCGGGCTCTGTGCTGACTGCCAGCTCGGAGCCTGGAGCCTGTTTCAGTCTGTGACTCCCTCTCTCTCTGACCTCTCCTACTCATGCTCTCTCTCTCTCTCTCTCCTAGAAATAAATAAAACGTTAAAAAAAAATTTAAAAAAAAAAAAGGAATCAGGGAAAAAGTCCTTGTAGTCAAGGAAGCTGAGACCTAGAGGTAGCAAGCTGTACACATAAAGTTGGCGGCAGGGGTCACAGAATGAACCAGAATAAAAGAAGTAAGTGTGTGGTCCATTTCCCCATCAGTACTGAGAGAGCCATTTTAGAATGAATGAGAATAGTAGTTAAATTTTTTTGCTGGGTTCCTCTTCTAGGTCATAAACATTTCCTACCACAGGTTACTGAGCCCAAAAATAAATACAGGAAGAAAATTCTTTGCGTGTGTGAAGCACTTTGTATTTTCTGCCTCCTTCTCAATCCTTAATTAAGCTTTCAGCCACCCTGTGTGGCCGGTCATTACCACTGGGTGAGGAATCGGGAGTCCTGCAGGAGCTATGTGACTTGCCCAAGCATACGAGCCAGACAGGCCGGGCAGGGTGAGACTCCCAGTTTCTGATGCCCACGCCCCATGTGCAATCCAGCCTCGTCACCCTGGGTCTTGGTGCCAGGAAGAAGTAAACAAACAAATGACTATCACGTTGCTTTTGCTTCTGGGGAGCGATGGGTTCTTATTCAAAATAGGTACAAGGGGCAAAACAAATGGTGTCTCATGGCAACGCTGTTGGGGGAGTGGGGTGCCGCTGTTTGAGGGCTTGGGGTTCTGCTCTTCCCCAAGCCATGTGTCCGCTCCTAAGTTTCCCTTGATTACTCACATACCCAGGATTTAGTCAGCAAAGGGGCCACATAGCTCGCTGGCCAGTGGGGATTCAGAAGTGATGCCATGAGGTCGACTATTGTATTCAGGTTCAGTACCCTGTAATACCATGCGATGTGGGCTGTAATATAGACATTTATGGAGAGAGATGGAAGTCCAGAAGAAGAAAATTATGCTCCTTGGGGGTCAAGGAAGGCTCCACAGCTAAGGTGACATTTACATAGAATCTAAAGAAAGAAGCAGGAGTTTGCTAGTCGGAAACAAGGGGAAAGAGCATCCGGGCAACTATGGTAGAGGTCTGATGAGTGATGGCTTCACAATCCACCCCCATATTCAAATCATGTTCCCTCTAACCTGCAGTGTACTTCTGAGACACATAATCAGCTCAGCCCTCAGCTCTGATGTCAGATGAGCTCTCTCTGTTGTTGGAGAGGTCTCTCAATGCACTTTCCCTGTATCATATGGAAAGCCAGGACCTTGCCAGGATTACTGAGAGCTCTGAGGTTTGGGAGTTTAAGGGGAAGGCACCCAAGGCTGTATTTCCAGTCATCCTCGGCTCTGAATTACTGCTCTCCACTGATTCAGTTCAGTTCACTTGATGTCTCTTATATAGTATGTGCATGTCTCTGTACGTATACACATATGTGCACATATACACACATATATGTACACACATACATAGACACATACGCATATACATATATGAAATCCACCTCTTGATTTAAAAAAATCTATTCCACTGAACATTTTACTGGGGGCGGGCGGGTGGGGAGAGGGTAGCACACAATGGATTTCTCTTACAGAAACATAAACCTCACATGGATCCTTCGAGACCTTCTTGTTGCAGCCTTCCAACCACCCTAGTTGGACCACCACAGGCTGTTTGTACTTCAGCTACACTGCCCTTTAGTCTTCTGCCTTTGTCCCTTCCTCCACTCCCAAAGAGACCTCCTTTGTCTCTCCTCTCTGTCTCATCTTGAGCTTCCTAGTTATTCCTCTCCTTTCTCTCTCCTTCCTCCCCATTCCCCCACAGTCCTGCTCAGTTCAGTTAAGTAGGATCTCATTGCCTGCATCTTCAAGGTCATAGCTTATCATGGAATTGTCCTAAGCAAACACAGTTCTTTTCCTAAGAGAATTTTGATATTACAGTGGTTTTAATTTCCTTTTGTCTGTGTGTGACTCGCCGTATCCCTACACATGGCCTGGCCCTGACAATAAGTGGGAAATCCATATTATCTGTTCTGTGAATCCGTTAATTGATTAATTAGTGCTTTAAAAAGATCTGTCTTATCCTGGTGTTTGACTATAGCGTAATGCTGCCCTGAATGCTAGATATAAGGAGGTTTAACCACCTTAATAAGACAGGCCCATCACCACCCCATTGCGTGGTGATGCCCACCAGTCACCAAAGCCAGGTTGCCGAAGTACTCCAGAGGCCACGTTTGTTAAGCCAAGCTGCTCTGTGAGCAGGCCCTGCATAAAGGCCAAGGATGGAAGGACACGTAAGCTACAGAAGAGAGTTTGCCTGTTGGGAAAGAGGAAGAAAGAAGCACGGGAACTGGCACAACCACAATGTTTAGTTTCTTTTAAAAAGAGCCTAGGGGCTCCTGGGTGGCTGAGTTGGCTGAACATCTGACTCTTGATATCAGCTCAGATCATGTTCCCAAGGTCGTGGGATTAAGCCCCATATCAGGCTCTGCATTGAGCATGGAGCCTGCTTGGGATTCTCTCTCTCTCTGTCTCTCTCTCTCTCTCTCTCTCTCTCTCTCTTCTCTCTCTCTCTCATCTTCTCTCCCCTCTCTCCCTCTCCCCAACTCATTCTCTTTCTCTCTCTCAAAAATAAAAATAAAAACATTTTTAAAAGAGCCAAAGTACCAGTTGTAAAGTCTTGGAAATGAGGTGCACTTACCAAGTCTCTGCATTTTTATATGATTTATATATTTTGTAGGTTTAAAAAGATTCCATAATTGCAAAAAAAAAAAAAAAAGGAAAAAGAGAATCCCATATCAAAAATCCCCATTGAAATGCACCCACTAATGAAGAAATATTTCAAAATATGATGCTTTTCCAAGAAGAGACATACCTAGGGCCCTCTGCACCCCCAAACAGAAGATAGCTCCCAACCACTGATAACAGCATAAGGCCAAAACCACAAGATTCACAAGAAGTCTTTGTTGCTTGAGCTCTTTGCCTCTTACCACTGTTATGTGATTAAATCGTGAAAGGCCTGTAACGAATACGTGTCCACAGAAGTGTTCAGGGGGAGTCCCCAATTCTTAGAATAGCCTGGTGAATTGTCCCCTCTTCTTCCCTCACTCTCTCTTACAAAAAGCTTTAAGGAATTTTCTCAAAGTAGTCCCGTCCTTGTGTCCTTTTCAAAGCAACATGAAATGGTAGGAAAATATATTAATAAGAAAATCATCCCAGTGGCTTCCCTGCTATTCTCGTAACTTCCTGGGAAGGTGAGAGAAATGCACAGACATTCCTGCAGCCACTTTGGTTACTAATAAGCCTCAGAGAAGCCTGTCACAAGGTTCTATCCAAGTTGCCACACACTGTCCTGAACCTTCCTTCTCAGTTTATTTATTTATTTGTTCCCATTCTAGAACAGCCAGCAAATGATTTCACACCTTTTTGTTTAGCTGCTAAAAGCAACACAATAACTCCCCTCAGGGCTGCCTCTGTGGGTTCCAAAAATAAAATGGGCTCATTTTCATGCTAAGCATGCAAAGGCTCATAGGAATTCTAAAGAAAGGCAAAGGAAGGAAGGAGAAAAGAGGGGTCAGGCTGGGGGTGTTGCTGAGGAAGGTCAGCTTCTGCCTCGAGTTACCAGCCACCCCTGCCAGAAGGATAGGTAAAAATAACAGACCATTCTTAGGCTACAAATTAAAAGATGATCTAATTCAACCCCGAACTCTCCAGCCTTATCGGCTATCCCTAAACCGAGGGTTATGCGTGGAACACAACCAACACATTCACCAAGGGTATAGAAGAGTAGTAGCCTGCTTCAGCCTTCCAGAGAAGAAATCTCTTGGGCAGGAAATAGCCAGTAACTTGCTTCCAGGTGAGAATATAAAATCATGGGTCTGTGAAATTCTAAGTTAACTTCTGAAACTCAAAAGTTTTCAGGGCCAGGGGCGCCAGGGTGGCTCAGTCAGTTGAGCATCCGACTTCGGCTTGACATGATCTCGCGGTTCTTGGGTTCGATCCCCGTGTCAGGCTCGGTGCTGACAGCCAGCTCAGAGCCTGGAGCCTGTTTCGGATTCTGTGTCTCCGTCTCTCTCTGACCCTCCCCTGCTCGCTTGCTCGCTCTCTCTCTCTCTCAGAAATAAATAAAGCATTTTAAAAAAATTTTTTTTAAGTTTTTGGGGCCAGAGCCATTATTTACACAGCACTCACTGTATCCCATATGTTACCTATTAGAACAGTATGCGATACGGATCACATAGTATTCACCCCTGCTAGCCAGGCTGGAATGTGTCGAGAGATTTCGGTGAGAGCTTGCTAGAAGTGCCCATGCTGCCCACCTACAATAAGAGGAATCCTTGCTCCTCTGCCTACCCCCAAATTTAAACATCCAGTGATGGGACCTGTGTGTTGTATTTGCAGGCAGGCTTTT